GTGGGCGGGAGCGTTTTGTGTCGGTTTTGAAGCAAGCCAGGGCCGTGGTGAGTGGAAGGGTTACGGCACGGGGCGGGCGAGTGGGGTGTGTGCGGGGCAGGGGGATAGGTTGGGCTGGGTGCAGCGGGGCCGAGGGCGGGGCGGCGGCGGCGGCGCCGGCGTGCGGGAGGGGCTGCCGTGACTTGCAGTGTCGCTGCGTCCATTTGTCATGCTGCCCACCCGCCCGCCTGCCCGCCAGAACGGACGGGCGCGGGCTGGGCGGAGGAGGCGACACCTAGCGCCCGCGCGGCCCCAAAGGGCTCTAGGGATCAAGGGCTGTCTATGCCTTCCTCAGTAGTCGCGCCGTGCACGACCCTTGTCGTTGCTGCGCTGCCAGCCTCCGATTGCGCTTCCGTTGCTCTCCCAGGCGCGCCCTCCCCGCTTACGTCCAGGGGATTTGAAACCGCGATGATTCGGGTAGAAGGACTGTAAAGACATTCACTGACTTGATTTCGAACATTAACCTTTCCTTACATCTTCTTTTCTAACTCTCGTGGCATCTGGGTGTCGTTCCTGGTGGTTAACAGCGTTTCTTTGTCACTGTTTTTACCTACTCATTTTGATGACTCAATCACGGAAATTTCCATGCCATTCTTTTTTCTTGTATTGCAATAGTGTCCTTTCCTTTTTAATTAATTTCTTAACTACGCCAATATTCTGAGTCGTATTTTCCAAATTAAATGCTTCACTTGTATTTAATTTCATACAGCTCGGATAAATTTTGATTGAAAGTTTTTCAATACTACACCAACAACTTCTTAGAGATAATTGTCAAACGTTCTTGAATAAATTTAGTACACTCGTGCATGCTTTCTGTTGAAGTGCATAACATACTCCTTAAGTTGCTGATCCCTCTACATAGGGTGCATGATGAAGACCTGAGTGGCGCCTTAAGGTCTCTAGCTTCCGGGGTGCCATTATATATCGCATTTAAATCACTCATTTTTGCTATACATTACACTTCTAAAGCCTGATTTACAAAGTCATTTTTCATAATCTTTGAATTCTGAAAATGAATGAAAAAGGGACGCTCGTTTCTACGTACTTTTTTGTACTGATTTTGGATGAGAGAGATCCAACAATTTACACGGACATTCCATTTTCTGAAGTTAATCGTAATGAAAATGTTTCCTCTGGCCGGCGCAAAAAGCACTGAATATCAAACAGTTGAATACCATATTTTCCGTAAAATATTCAACTTTTTTGCGACAAAAGAAATCTCTGAAACCGCACACAAGGAACAAATCTCTCTAAACGCACAGCAAACTAGATTATAGTTCTGAAAAATGACGCCAGAAAATCGGTAGTCAAACTAGGAAAGTCTGTAACGAAAAATGAAGCATACATATTTTGTCTGTAAATTACATGACTGGTCCGTCATTTTTCTGTCTCGATGAAAAATGAGTGAATAATTATTGATTGTGAAATTACCGTGTAAAACGCGCTTAATATATCTGGTCATCTAGTCTAAGGGATGTTAGAATCGACCGAATCTTTTGAATGATTTTTACAATAAGCCTTGTGCTCATGCTCTTCTTCCTCACTTCCTCGTATGCTTCACTGAGAAGTGCTAAATATCCTTGAGTCATGTGACTATGCACAATCAAGTTCAGCACGAGACGTTTTTCACAATAACAGGTCTTGGCTGGTTATTTCCTGGCATCGTACCTTGTCTTCTGACATTCTTATTGTTCTTTCTTAGACGTGTCTTGTCTGTTTACAGGATCTAATGTCTGGTTCATTCATCCTTTTGCTGTCTTTCCCACTTTAAACCTTCAATTACATGGAATAAGAGTATTTTGAGACTGTGTCCAATCAGTTTTCAATATCTTATTCTCACCACTTCCAATATTTTTCTTTTTTCTCTCATTTTCTGTAATGCATGTGTCACCTCCCCCCTCGAGATAATTTTTTACATTGTATTTAGCTCCAAGATATCAGTAGAGATTATAATAGCAATAATTTAAAAAAAATCTTAGTTATTAATGCTACGAACGGAAGCGCTCATTAGGCAGGTTCGAATTTTGCTTTGCTCCATCCCCCGCCTGGATACAGGTTTTGATTATTTATCGAAAGGTTATAATTGCAGAAATAACGAAAGTGAATACAATACGGATATTTACGGAATACACGTGTTCGCAAACTGCCGGCGGTAAAGGAACGTAATTTTATAATATTTTATGATCTTCAATATCACCTGAGATCTATCACGAGAAACAAGTCAGGCATCGTCCATGTTGAAGAGAATCTCATGTCCTGCAGATGACACACAAATTCGACGCAACGGTATAATACAATGGCTCAATGCATCTCAAGGAATTCTCCTCGGAGAACAACGAAGGCCCAGAGGTCGCCAAGAGGAAGTTCCCACAGAGCCATGTGCCACCCACCGCAGCGACAGACGTGGAGGCAGGGGGCTTTGCTCAGGCCTCCGTTGGCGTCGTCTAATGCGATGTTCATACCAAATTATCATGAATAATCATGTCGCACTTGGTGAAGTATGTAATTCAAGAATGTGAAATGAATTGGTAGTTATAACCAAATGCTCCACTCACTAATGTAAGATTATTGTTTTCAAAGTTTAATTGATTAATTCATTACACAGTAATTTATGTAGTATCATAATGTAGATTAATTTTGAATTCTTATCTCATATTCAATTACAACAGCCCAAGTACGCTGTTATGACTTAATAGTGATAAGCGAGAAAAATGCTACAATGTGTCCGTGTAATTGTCCATGAATTAAAAATCTCCAAGAATTGCAAGTAGTTGGAATCCACAAATGGTGTTTATGCGTAGAAAAATGGTTTGAACCTTGAAAAATCTTATTAATGAGTCTATTTTTAGTTCACAAAACGTTTGTGAAATTTTGGTAATATTTAATTTGATTTTTATTGCAACTATGATGATAGGCAATCTTCCATAATATATTTTGGCAATTTTTTACACAGAAACAAACATCAAACCTCTCTTTGATATTTGCTAAATTTTAAAAATGTATTTTTAGGTTCAAATTATTTCGTTTAAACATAATAGAAACTTCATGTCAAACTGACAAAACCGCGCTACGTCGGACAAGGGGATACCAAAAGAGAACAACTGTTTAGTGCTTACTTTTGCCGAAATGATCAATATATAAAATGTAGTAGGTTTCTGCTAGCCTCGTATTCTGCGCCATCAGATCTCGGAAATAACTGTTGCGCGAACAAATACAGTCGCCCAGAGCGACCAACGCATTTCCATTGCTACAGTACGTACTCCCAAGACATCACCATATAAACAAGACTGATCTGATGGTCAGCAAATGTTGACCGAAACGTAGCGCACAAATTGCCGACTCTCTGTGGTCTGATCAACGAAGTATTTTAATCTACATGCTGAGTGGCCACTTGTTTGTCCTTTAACTTTGGAATTCGTCAATAAATTAGAATCTGTCACTTTAGAAGAGATCGCATTAAGTTCCGACCATGTATTCGGTCCCAAATCGTAGACACAACAGAAGACATTAGTTAATTAGTTAATTCTGAAAATAAACGAAAATCCAAAAGCCATAGTGAGTGAAAATAGTTATTTTTATATTAACAGCGTGAAATGATTCGTTTTTGTACAACCGAGAGTTTTTGACGAGACCAATCGAGGAATCGAGGAATCGGGAAATCGAGAATTTTTGCACGGTCGAAATTAAGGCACAAAAATTCAAGATCGTGCAACAAAAAAATCATTTTGTTTTCGAAACATAGGCAACTTTTTCTACAATTGTATAAAATACATTTAATAAAAATCATTATTTGCTTCATCTCTACTTTTCATGGCTATTGAAAGAAACAGCATCTTTGTTAGCCATTTTACTGCAAAACCATATTTTTGCATTTTTCGATGTCTTAAAAAAGTTCTTACTTCACGCACCCACAATGGTACGTAAAATGTCTAACTTTTATACGATCATACGAAAAAGCACTCTGCTCTTCGCTTTATTTCAGGGGACATGCGCAAACGGCGCCTTTACAATAGCAGTGTTTCGTGCCGATTATCTGTAGAACGAGCAGCAACAAAAAACCTTTATCAGTGAAAATGGCAGGGTCGTCCGAGTTGTGTTAACTTTTGCCACTTCACACTCCTTTTTCCATAGCAGCATTCCATGCACCGAAGGAAAACAGCCTCTTCAGTCAGTACTACCTTGCAAGTATTTATACATTACTGTCGACCAGGGCCGGTGAAATGTATGCATTTTAGGTGGGTAGTACCATGGGTGGGTTTTTTATCATAATGTATAAAGTTAATATAAGTTATAATAATGTCATAATTATAAAGTTTTTATCATAATTAAGTTTTTTTAAAGAAACACATGATAAAGGTAAAAAAAATTTAAAATATTTTTTATTAATACTTTATATAAACATATTCATAAATTATTTCTATATCTTTTTTTATTTTCCAGTCGCAGAAAGGATCACTTCTACACCCGATTTTAAACTTTTCGGTATTTCATTAGCATTTTTTGAGGTTAAGTTCGATGTACTCGCAGGCTGCAGCGTGCTCCTCTTTTCTGCTTGACTGAAATATTAATCAGTTTCGTCATTCCCTTGTTTACCTGGGAAACCTCGAACAATACAATGGTCCATTATCGATTCTTTTCGATACAATGGGACACAGCTAGTGCGCCTAAACATATTGCCCGAGGTCACAACTGGGAATTTTGAACATAATGTGTTTCAAATATTTGGTCGATTTCGAAAATATTTTTTTCACCATTTTCATGGTGTTAAACGTGTTGAATTGGATTTTGCTTGCTAATTTTTGTCAAAATTCCAGGTGGGTAATTACCCACCTGGAATATTTTTTTGTGGGGAGTACTACCCACCTTACTCAACTCTTCCACCGACCCTGCGGACGGCACTATCGTCCGATGAACGCGAAGCAGCACTGGTCGTGTGGATGCGCTCAGGAGCGGATACTCACTTGGCGTAGTCGGCCTTGCAGTAGACGGAGTCGTCGCGCATGAAGCACGAGGGCTGCCGGTCCAGCGCCAGCTGACACACGCAGCAGCGCAGGCAGGTGGCGTGCCACGCCCGCCCGCTCACCTGCAGCAGGTACTTGTCCGTGATGGGCTCCCCGCAGGCGGCGCACGCGCGGTGCTCCGTCTGCAACAGGCGACACGCCCCCGCGTCACACGGGCGAGCTAGCAGCGCGCGCCGAACCGCGTGGCGGTTGCGGCAGGCCTCGTGGGCTGTTGCGCTTCACCGAAACGGCTAACGTTTACGGTTATAACTATCCTATCGTCGAATCTTGTGTGAAGCTAAAAAAAGATATTTGCACAACGCTTACGGTATCGCTGATAACGTGCTGACATCTGGTAGCAACAGTATTAAGTTACACCCAAGTTTGGCGACTTCCCAAGTTTGGTATACTGTGGTTAATTTTGTATACGTGGTTACGATTAAGTTCTTCGATTATTTACATCGTAATTATTTGTTTCCGGGAAAACAGCGCCAAAGAGCGATTGCAAAATGTGGCATGGTGTTCACTTGTTTTTACTCTCTGGATGTGTTGTTCCCTACTACAGAAAACATGAATTGACGCATATGTACTTGGGAATATTGATATGGATGTTATAGAAAAATGCAATTCCACTTTCAATTTTAGATCCAAATCGACCTGAAATTATATGTCTGTAAAATTTGGAACGTTAAATTGCTTCTTATTTTAAAGTGATACCCCGTTCGCAAAACCACAATAATTTCAATGTTGTTCCTCACTGGCTTCCATCCTCGTACAGAATGAAAGCCTTCCTTCATTGGCATACATAATGTTTTGAAGAAAACCGCAAAGAGAAAACCTTTGAACACATTGTAAGCGGACCGTGCACGGTTATGAAACTTCGCTTAACGAACCGGACCCAGATAACGCTTGTGTTTGTTACAGAGGCTGTGACTGGTGTTCCCGGCGTCACGTGACAATAACCAGTTCCACTTCTGTTTAGGCGTCGATATGCAAACACTCTATAATCACAATTCAAACTTACACCGTAACGTAGCTGCAAAATCTAGAAAGGAGTTTTAGGGCATCAAAATCCCAGACCTACACATAACCTCGACCAGTCGTATATCACCACTCAACTTTTAACACATCTTACAGCTCGCTAATATAAATTGGAATTAAGTTTCTGCCATAGAGTAGAAGTAATTAGAGATGTTTCACTAATCGATGTTTCTATTTTAAATTAAATAATTAGGATCGCTTCTCTCCAAGAAGCACACAAAACCAAGAGGGACTCCACAGAACTCTCAACACAAACAACTCGGTGACCGTCAACTACTCATTTGTGATATAAGTAAAAAATCTCTGAAATGTCGTATCCGGCCAGTGGAAATTCCGGCAATTAAAGTAGGCTTATGCGCATTAGAGCTCACTCCGCAATTGTGTACGGTCTTTTGAATTCACAATATGCAAAAGCTCTCTATTAAGCGATACCATTCACAACGCCTTGACGTAACTGTAGACGCAAAATCGTAAACTTAGAGTTCACAAGCACCAAACTTTTACATTAAGTTTACGTCAGAATTCTATCGAAAACCAATCAGAGAGTAGTATGAAACAAACATGGTCAATTTCAGATTGTGTTCAGGTATTTTGTGGTTATATCATTTTATTACTGATATGTACTGAACTAGTTTACGAACGGTTTTGTTGCAAGTTGTGAATTTGTAAGAATTTGGGCCATTTTATGTGACTTTAACTCGACGTGGAGAATAAAATAATTACGTTCGACGAAGTAGTCGAGAATTTGGTACTAGATTATCCTTGTTTATAAAATAAAGGAAATGCGAGAACTAATACAACAACTATTCACATTTATACATAAAGACAAATCGATAGGGAAAACGAAGAAAAAGCTGAAAATAATGGTGAAAAGGTCCTTCCAACACGCTAGAAACGGATCTATCAAGCTTCAATACATTGAAATATAATTGGTTGAAGTGAAACTTACGTTCCAGCTTACGTTTGTGAATTCTTGTTTCTACGTGCAAATTTTACTGCTAAGGTTACTGCTTTACGTTTAAGTTTGCATTGTGAATGAGGGCTTAGTTGCGCTGTGGCTCTGAAGCGTAGGTGAATGGAAGGTTCGAGAGTTCCAGTCCCACCGTTGGCGTTGTTCCACGTTAACAGCTTACTTGAGCGAACGCAACCCCCTGAGAGAAGGCAAATTCTGGCGGTCAGCTGCTCGGGAACTTTCCATTCGATTCCAGGCGAATGCCTTAACAAACGAGCCAAGAACTATCCACGATCATGTTTTCTTCATTTTTGTCCTCTTTTCTCCCACATGCGCAAATTTACATTTCCATGAAAAATTCAACAATACAGGTGAAGAGCTTCGAGCTTGTTTTGATCGGCTGGGAACGATATATGGGATGGGGTATAACCGTGTTAGCTGAGGGTGTAGTTCGGGGTTGGATTTCACGTCACAGTAGGGGATGAAAACCGCTACCAGCCGAGATATAACATGTAGTATACTTAGGGGACTAATGACCTAAGTGGTTGGCGCGTCAAGGAATTTATATTTATTCACTCACTGAACCGCATAGAAAACCAACGGATTATTTGCTATCTGTGGCAACCCATAGTGTAGCGGTCAGTCTGCTTGCCTTCCACACTTTGGACCAGAATTCAAATCCCGGTGAATCAACGGGGTGTTTGTGAGGGACAAAGCAGGCTTCGTGGCAAGTATTTTTGCAATTCTCCCTTTTCTCCTGCACTCATCCCCCATTGCTTCATCATTACTTATATAATTTCATCATAACCACCAACCCATTCAAATAACTTCCTATTTCAAAGTATGGCCGTAAGGTTTAGGTATTGGTATCTTAAGAAAGATTATCCCTTTTCGTACCTCACGTGGAAACATATACTCGCTTCACTGAGAAAACGAAATTGCGCCACATAGGCTAGTATTGTAGGTTCTACTTGACTCTTCGCTATTCGTGAAGACTTCATCGTGATGCTCCGACGTTCCTCCGGGATTAATATAAGACAACTTTAGGTCCAAGCAAGCATTTTACACCAAATGACTTTATTCTCTAATCTCGCTCCACTTAAGGTCTTCGATCTCACACCTTACGGTACAGATTCGTTTTTGCGGTAGGTCAAGAAATAAGACACAAAATAACGCGGTAACATTTTTATTGACTGCTAAGCTCGCTCCAAAATTTACTGCTTCTTACTTTCCGATAAAAGGCATCTTTCCTTTGCTTCATAACTCTAATGTTTGGCTCTAATTCCAGTTTGGTGATAGTTAATCCCCTTGGAGTGTGAACGCGCCATACGTATGGGGTGCCAAAAACGTGGCATCATTTGATCGTTGCATAATCCCAATACTCTCGTTCTCGGCTACCAACTTACCATCTCGTTTACGGGCGCTCACCTGGAGAGAATGCGACACGTTGAAAGAAGCACGCTTCAAAAAGTCTCCAGAGAGAAGCTCCGCTGAAAGGATTATTTACTATGAGCTACGTCAATAATAACACATGCGCGTTTCTTCCATATTACTGCACGACGTGCGATGTTACGACCAAGATTTTTTTCAGCTACGGAAAAAAAGCACTGTTGAGCAAAACCAAACAAATTGGGCTTCCCAAAATGTAGCACGCACACTGCAAAAACAAACAAAATATTCTCGCAAGACACTGCAATAAATTGAGTACTTTTACAAAATGTGTTTACGAATACAGCAAGTAGAATACTGAATAGTACTGTATATTATATAAGGTCACATATTACTTTATATATTAAAATTTAAAAAAGTTACTGATTCATAATGCGACAAGCGAATAGCAAATATTAATTGTAGGCGACATTCTTTGAAGACTTATTATCACAAGATGTCAGTTCTATCGTGTGCAGTGACGCACTAAGTATGAGAGTTCAGTCGCTGTGATAACAGGCGGAATAACAACCTAAGATATTTGTATTTTTTATCAAAACTGACACTGTTTTGTAGTATTAAATTTTCAAGATCCATTGACAAACCATTCACATGGCCGAACGGTGCACTTTCAGTTCCTACGCACATCGCAAATTAGTGAAATAGATTGATAAGCATATTAGAAAGCATAATGAGAGACTCCATAGAACGTTACATGGCGACGTCAACCGATGCCGATAAGTTCAACCAGTCGCACTAAGAGAGGTCGGCTAAGGAACGATAGACTTGGTCGTTGTACTCGCTCTACTAACTCATCCATGAGTGGTCTACGAATAAAATGATGCCTTGGGATCCAGACAGCGCAATTCACCTTTCAGAAAAACTAATTGAGGCGAAATGGGCCAGGCTACGGATAAACTTGTCCCGTAGACTTGTTTGAAGAAATAATGGAAGTAATCTCCGTGAACAAATATACTTTTTATAATTTTTAATTTTAATATATTAAGTTGACGGAGATGACTTCCATTGTTTCTTCATGCAATGACGTCAACAGCACCGCATCTAAATTCCCACAGTCCATAGATTTGGTTTGTTAGTGAATTGTAAAACTATTTCTTGAGAGTGCGTGAGTGAGTATCTCGTATTTCCTGGCGCGTCAAATTTTTCATTAGCCCCGTAAGTATAGTGTAAGTTTCAACCGAGAGGTAGCCGTTGTTACTCCATCGCTAGAACATTCAATCTTCACATTGGCTTTGTGGGATTTACCCGTCCACGATGCTCTTCTAGAAAGGAACCTTCGCAGCCGAAATGTGGCTCAATATTCCTGATTGGTAGAGTAGTGCATGTAAGTGTAACTGGGTAGATGTAAGAGGTGAGGAGGGTTCAAGGATGAGGAGAAGATAGCAGGCGATCTGTGCACCGAAGTTCCGACATTCACCTGGAATTGCTCTGAGAAACCACCGAGGGGAACAGCCAACAGCTAGAATTATGTTCCAGACAGCGGATGGAGTATTCGACGAAGCCCATATTGCTGCATTTCGCCCTGAGGAAGGTCGCAGAATGGCAGCCGAAACGTTGGCACCTGTGCCAAGGACGCTCAAGCCCGGGCGTTCAAGCAGCCTCTGACTCCGGCAGCGGAAGCCTGTGCTCTCATTTGATCAATCCGCCCATTTGACCAATCTGACCATCCGTCTAGGCCCTCTTAGCAGCGGCAACAGTTGTCGCACTGGGCCGTCTCTACCGGTACACACTTGCGTATAACCCTTGTGGTACTCCACGAGGGAATCCCCGAGCGCCACTCGCCCGCTGTGCTGCTTCGCAGGCGCTGATGAGCGACGCCCCTCGGCGCTGCGCGTGCGTGCTCCCATCCGCGCCGCGGGCGGTGCGGGGCGGGGGGGGGGGGAGTGGGGGGCCCGGAAGTGGCTGCAGGTGCCGAGGGCCAATCCGCGCCGCTGCAGGGCGCCTTGCGCCTCCGCCTCCGTCTTCGCCGCCGCCTTATTAATTGCGGCGCGCGCTGCGATCGGCGCGGATAAATTACTCCATTAACCGCGCCGCCCCCGCCACCCACAGCGCTCGCGCGCCGCGCCCCGCGCCCCCCGCCATCACGGCCGCTTTGGGATTAATTGAAGCCGCGCAGCAAATTTCCTCTTTGTACAGCCGCAACGCACTAAATCGAAAACCACACTTTTTAGAGATTACGGTTTTTCCCCGCCGCACTGCAACCAAAATGCTAGCGAAGACGTAAGTAGTGGTGAAAAGAGTTCAATGTAAATTAAATGCGTTCTTGGTGTTGTTACGAATATTGTTGGAAGATGAAGATGACAATTGTTTACGAAAGAAGTTAAAACATCGTAAAAAGTAGGTGAATATATTAGCATAAATATTGAAATTATGTCATAAATTAGTGGTGCTACAACAGCACATGGTTTATCTCATATCTAAATTTTCAATTTTCAAAAATTCTGAGATTTTAACGAAAATAAGACCCGCACCATTCTTTTAAGCGTCTCATTTTGTATCAGTGAAAAACATTGAACCAAATTTTGAGAAAATATTTTTTTAAATATATCACAAATAATTCCAAGCACAAATTACGCAAATACTACTCATTTTTCTAAAAAGTGTACAAGAAATTGTTTAAAGAATTTTTTACAACAGACTTTGTTTTCGTGAAAAATATCTAACATCAATTTTGTAGTTTGAAATACGGAGAATACTCTGAAAACGGAACTAGCACCATTTCTTTACTACGCTTTGACGAGGAAACAGATTCAAAGAAAAAAATAGTGCGCCTTTAGAAAAACGCCAATAACGTCGGCTTGTGGGGAACTTCTCTCTCCCAGTATCTCCCCGAAGTGGAGCACCACCCCAGACAGGACTAACTCTAAGCACTCGACTGGTCTTCTGACATGTGCGTCCAGTACATGTTCTTTATCGTAAGGCGACAGTCTCTATCTAGAGACGGCCGTGGCTATTCCTTTTTGGGGAGGTAGGTAGCAAAAGTTGACCGCGTGATGGAGTCAGAATACGCCCGACCGGGAACTGTCCCAGCTACTCGTAAGCTCTCGACGTGTGAAGTAGTGCAGTGCATGTAAGTGTGTGTGTGTGTGTGTGTAATTAAGAAAAGAGGATATGACAAACCGTCAATGACCCGTTTTTTAAGTTTCTGCTCCGTCATTCTTCAGGTATTTCCTAGATAAACCACTGAAAGTCACCGATCAGAGCAGCTGCAAAATAATTCTCCTTCAGACAGCGGCAGTATTCGACCCAGCAATTTAGCCAATATTGAAAATCGAATCCTCGGATCTCCCGGTAAGAATCGCCGCAGAGACAACAGCAATCCTGTCTCTGAGATATACTCAACAGGTAATGATTTACGACGAACACTTTCGTTAAATTTAATGTAAATTATATGAAGAGGAAGGGTGTTGTCAGATCTAGCAACTCTTGATTGTAAACCAACGATAGAGCCACTAAGCGCGGAGGACAGAGACACCGTATGTACCACGTACGCGTTGTGAGATAATTGTACGAGAATTATGAAAGCCTTGGGCTTCTTGGTTGCTGTAGGTTATAGAGCTACTGAACTGTTTTTTGCTTGTACTGAGCGATTATTGACTTGTCTAATTCTAATATCCTTGTAATTATTGTTATGATTATCAATTGAATCCCTTATAAATGTAGAAAAGTGTACGTTAATTGTACAAGAAGCGAGTCCCATACTTCCATCACAATGCTCACACAGTTTAGCATTGTGAAAAGGAATTTTGATGCAGAGACTTGGCTTTCAAAGAAATAAGGTAAAAGTCTTGCATCTGTTTCTTATCTTTATGTGATTCCTTCCCTTTGATAATTATGAGTGTACATAAACACGTCCAAACTCGTCTTCTTCTCTTCCTTCTCTCCATGTTTTATGTTCTATTTCCATCTGAATTCGTTACGATCTCCTGACACGCAAATCCTTTGAACGTTCGCCCTGTTAAACCCTCCGATTCAGTTACCCTTCCTCTTTGTTATTTTTATCTATCTATCTCTCTCCACCCATCCGAGCCGTTGTCATTCAGGTCTCTCTTCCAGTTCCAAATCCCCAACCAGCGCCACATATTTTTGTGGTACTATTCCTTCTGCAGTGTTCTAGCTTCACATTCGTGCGTATAATACTCCATAAGCGTCAGTTCTTCTCGAGTTCTGCCCTTTTCTTCTAATTACTGTCAGCCGTTGCTTTATACTGATTACTTTCCCTACTCGGCACTGCTACCTCTTTGTTTGTCGCCAACTTTTCATCGCGCCTTAGGTTTTTTGTTCATTCCAGATATTTAAAGAAATTTGCTTCTTCCAGTCTCTAGCCTCTGACCATAAGCGTACAATTTTTTCCTCAAGCTATATCCTCTGACGAGGGATTGAAAGAGATCTTGTCGTATCATTATTGGCATCTCTTACCGTTCAAAGCCTCATCCAAGAAAATCCTCTTAATTTTGTTTTGTTTGCATCACTCCTGACACTACGTTCTGAATTCCTATCTACGACCATATAAAACTGTTGAACTGTTAACTGAAATGTTAATAAATACAACGCGTTTTGGGAAATTTTGTGTGATGAACGCTACAAATGACTCTCGGTTAATGAATGAAATTGAAAAAAATAAAGTTTTCATTTCCTGTAAGGATACGCATTTCTCACTCGGCGCAATTTTTAATATCGAAACATTGATGTACGCAAATTAGCACCTAATAAATATAAAAATTAATATATATTTGAGAATTTACATGATTCTAAAATAGAAGTTAAAGATCAGTAAGTAAATATTTGATATCCTTGAAAGAATTTAATCCTTTAGCAGTTAATTCCAGTCTAATTTCCTTGAACGAATGTAATGTAAAAGTTTTGCTCACACAATTTATTTCTTGTATATACTATACACGAAACAAGGCAATAAGGAGGAATGTCGGGAAGCATTTGAAATCTCTTTCGTTTCTGTTAACACACCCAAATAGTTTTCAAAACGGTTTTGACTGCATGGTTTCTTTTTGTAATTTAGTCAATGAATTTTAAGCGATTGCGAAATTAAGTAATGTACCACGTAGAACGGTGTTTTTTTACTTCCAATTCAAGGCCATAGAAACAACTATCAGGAAAATAATTTCATTGGCGGCGAAGTACGATTGCGTTTTTACGATTGAATCTCATCTAACTAAGGCGAACGAAAAGGGAAGAAAGACGCTTTGGCTGTCTGAAGCAGACTTTAAAATATTCATTTGATTCAGACGTTGCTATAAACTTTTTAAGCCCAAAGGAGTGTTAAATGTGATTGAAATTAATAGCATTTCTGGAAAAGAATGCCCTTGGCCAAAATGAGTTTAATCCCTTCGCCTTGTGCCACCATTAATCAAGCGGCGACGGGCACAAGGTGGGTTCAGCGCATGCGCTTTTGTGGTGGACAGCAGACGGCGAGTGATTAATTCACTAGCGCTTCTCCTTCATTCACGCCTCGCCCGCCTCGCACTTCAAAGGAGATCGATGAGGAGAGAACACACAATAAACGTACAATATGACACAAGTAACGATGTTAGTCCTTCAGAATTGAAATATTAAAAAAATGGGTCAATATGACTTACCCTAAGGTAACTAATGTAGGCATCACAGTTTCGTGAGAGAGCAGGTCAAATACATGGCATGCGCCGTGCCATCAATAGAGGAATTATCATTACTATTATTATTATTATTATTATTATTATTATTATTATTATTATTATTATTATTATTATTAGCAACGTTACTATTATATTTAGAAACGTTCTATATTCTCTTTTTCTTACTATCTTCTTACTATTCAGAAGTCGTATTGACTTCGAATGTTTTTAAAATACTCCTAGTGTTGATGTTTTGAAAGGGAAATTATATGTATTGATGTATGTCTATCCTAAGTTCGTAAAGTATGATACATCAGAAGTCCAGTAATAATCTAAAAATAACTAATTACTGACTAATATATTCTTTTGTTACTTTATCAAAATCGACAATACAAAAAAAATTTAAAAACACAAACGAATCAATTGGCTAAAGTGTTTTGTCTTCGACTTGAAAGGTTAGATCTTTATTGTACTGCGTAAAACTAGAGTATGGTTTTTACAGTATTAAACTGTTTTTACAGGTTCACACCTTTTGGTGTGAGCATCACAGAGAAAAATGTCTCTTCGATGTGTCTGTTTACAGGGCGAATTGACTTGAAAACACGATTGAAACGTTTTTAAAGACATAATAGTGAGATTCGTTTCTATTTGTTTCGTTTGAAAGAGCAGTGTTTTTGGATTGTTCTTCAGATAAGTGGGTGAAAACATACAAAAATAATCTTTCAGCGTTAAATGTAAGAATATTATGTGTGTAAAAAATGAAAATGTTGAATGTAGTACTATATTTAACGTGCGTTCGCGCGAAGGCAGTGTTATTACAAAAGAATAGAAACATCTGCTTCCTAAGAAAGATCATAATAACGCTCGAATGAACTTGCTATTCAACTGTTAGCACGCTGTCACAGATAAAATAATTAATGGCACCATCTACAAATGACGCTCATTTCGTTAACTGCAGTAATTGTAATTATACTAAATGAATATCAAGTCAACATCACAACGAAACGATACATAATGAGAAATGGACTTGCACTATTTTCTTATGAGATGGAATTAAGATGAAATTGCTTAAACTGTGACCAAAGTACAGGATGATTCAGAAACAACGTTACAAAGTTCTAAAGCATGTACGAGGTCGAAAATAATCACTTTTCTATGCATACGTCGTGGGAAATGGCATGTAAAGAAGTTAATGTAAAATTTCCCCCTTGTGTTTAGGCAATGCTTTATGTACAGAT